TGGATTTCTTCTAAATTTTCTTGATTTTTGTTACTGATTTGTTTTTTTTCTTCTCAGTTTTTACTGTGTTTTGTTGTTTTTTTGGAGGGTGTACACTGATTATGTCTTTGGAGCGAAGTGCCCCCCCTCGGCTTGGGTGGGTGCCTGCACCTGCATCGACCGCCTCGCTGCGACGACTCTAAAAACCGAATTATCGAATCGCAGGTCGCTGTCGCGCAAGTTCTCGAGCAAGGACGTGAGCCTGGGCAGCCCGACGGTGAAGAAGCAGGTCGCGTTCCCGAGCCGCGGCTACCGCCCGGGCCCGGACGACCCCAGCTTCCAGAGCGTGCAGGTGGTGCCGCCCGGCGAGCAGCGCACGCACGGCGCCGGCGCCGCGGGCCAGGGTGAGCGTCCACCACGGCCTCAAGGCCCGCCGGACAGCCGGTTTCGTTCTTAACTCTCGCTCTCAGTATCGCCGTGTGTCACTGACCCCGCATCCCGCGCCTCTCCTCTGCAAGCAGACGCGCCGCTGAAGCCCGCCGCCCTGCGCCGCCTGGTCCTCGACGCCAAGGGCCCGCTGTCCAAGTCGCTCTCCATGCCGGACATGGACAACCGGAGCAAGAAGAGGGACCGCCTGCTCGCGTAAGTGCCCGTCCCGCCACCGCGGCCGCGCCAGCGCCCGCGGGGCTCTCGCTGTAACTGTCGCCCTTATCTGTGCAGGCTGCGTGACTTCGCGCGCTCCGAGTCCGAGAGGTCCTTCGACGAGTGCCAGATGCGGCGGGCGCGCCTGCAGTCGCTGGGGCTGGCGTACCTCTCGCCGCAGAACAAGTCGCTGGCGCAGAGCTTCCGCTACATGCGCACCAAGCCCACCATCATCGCCTTCAAGGTGCGTGTCGTGAGGAGTGAGCGCGCGGGGTAGCGCCGCGCCGCCGCGGGCGCGGAGTAGCGACCTGACGCGCACCTCTCTGCTTCCAGACGCCCAGCCTAGAGAGCTGCCAGGCCAGGCTGTCGGCGCTGGCGCTGGCGCAGGCCGCCGCCAGGGAGTCCCGCCCGGTCCGGGAGGCCGCCGCCGAGGAGGGCAGGGTGTCCGCCGACCCTGCGGCCGACTCCGAGTCCGAGGGCAAGCACACCTCGCCGCCGACCCCAATCGGCATGAACTACCCCGTGGGGAAGCCCCTAGAGGTGAGCTCGCGCCCCGCCAACCCCTCGAGATCTGACTTTTAACAGGAAATTCACAGCTGAACGTTAAACATGTTTCGATGTGGCAGGTCATAGTCGAAGAGAGAACTCCTCGGGGCAGCACCGCCAGTCAATACGCGTCGCCAGGAACGATCGTACGGTTCCTCAGATAATATGTGTGTTCTGTGTTTGTTTTCCCTGTTTTTTTTTCTTTTTTTTTTGTCTCCTCAAGGGGCATGTGCCGGGGTCTTTTCAAACCGAGCGTTTTGTGATTAACAAACTGTGTTGTTGTTGTTCATTCATACCACGCCCAACTCGTGCATGCATAAGTGTTGTAACCCCCTGTCGTGGCAACGCGTAGCATTCTCGTCGTCGCACCTCTTCACTCATCCAAATCTCATCGTCACTGTTGGTGGGTGCCCCCGTTGTCGTTGGCGCCACGCTGTCTGACCGCCCGTCTCTCCTGCAGATCTACCTGGACGGGCCGTACGGAGCGCCGTCGTCGCACATCTTCCGCGCGCAGCACGCCGTCCTCATCGCCACCGGCATCGGCGTCACGCCCTTCGCCTCCATCCTGCAGTCCATCATGCACCGGTACTGGAAGGCCAGGCACACCTGCCCGCAGTGCACCTACTCCTGGGCCTCGGACATTCCGGCCACCGTCATGAACCTGCGCAAGGTGAGCTGATGGCGCTCGAGTCGCGAGTCGGATGGGTGGCCTACCCGGCCGGCGCGGCCCGCGGCTCCGTCTCCAACCCCACTAAGCACTGTGTGTCTAACCTAACCTTCCGCCCCGCTCTCCGCAGGTGGACTTCTTCTGGATCAACCGCGACCAACGGTCGTTCGAGTGGTTTGTGAATCTGCTGTCGCAGCTGGAGATCGAGCAGGCCGAGCTGGGCGGCGCCATGGAGCGCTTCCTCGAGATGCACATGTACATCACGTCCGCGCTGCAGAAGACGGACATGAAGGCCGTCGGGCTGCAGCTCGCCCTGGACCTGCTGCACGAGAAGGTGAGCGACTTTCTGACTTTTTAAATTTTATTTTTTGAAT